AGAAAGCAGCCTCCTCTCCTCCTCCTCCTCCTCCTCCTCCTCCCAAAGAAAAGAGCCGCTGTGTTTTTAAGGTGCTCTAATGCTTTTGTCTACATTCATGTGGCTGTTTACCATATCAAGGGCCTGTGAATGTAGGAGCCTTTAGTGAGGCAGCCGGAGGACGCCTTTTCCCACCAAACACACACTCATAAAGCCAGACGTACACACACACACACAGACGTACACGCAGTATGCGCACAAACACACAAAGTCAAACACAAACACTTGTTGATCTCCTAATCCGCCGACCTCTGACTGTGTGAGATTTATTTTCCAACAACGACTGAAGCAGGGCCATTAGAAATAAACACTTTGTACGATTTCAGTTTTATACCCCAGCTAACAATAATACATTATATTTATTTATATGTATATTGTACATATATTTCTAGATTTGAAATTAATACATTTGAGTGCTTTCTGCTAAACAAGAGAAACCATTTGAATGTGTTATATTTAAACTACCCGCAGTACTGCATTTGCAAACGAAAAATAATAGATGTCTCAAAAATGTATTATTTATTTTTTAATTCATCAAAAACAACAACAAGGAATTAAGATATAATTAATTTGACTAAGCACCAAAACAAAACAAACGGATAAAATGCTTCCATCATGTCCAATAAGAGAATTTACTCATAAATCAGTGTTGACACTTTATATAATTGAATACACCAATAAAGGGCTTTGTCTAATGGTTTAATAGGAATTCAACAAAGCAAAGAAATACATGCAAAGTTGTACAGACGATGTATGTTCTTTGTGACTCACCTCTACCTGCTCTGTCAGCAGCGCCAGCATGTTCTCCATGTCAACAAATGAACTCTGAATGAGCCTGCAGAGAAACACAAAACACAACCAGGGGTATACAAAATATACTCAAAAGATACAAATACTCAAATACTAAAATACTCAAAGGAGAAGTAGTCGTACTAGTTTTACTTATATATATTATATGAATGATTATATCAATTATTCAAGATTATAAGTATACATTTATATTGTATGTTGTTAACATATTTTAAGATGTAAAAAAAAAAAAAAAAGGGAGAAGGGGTCGGATTAAATAAGTGTAAACTTCTTCCGACCCCTTTTCGGACGTGTAATTATAGCTAAAGCTTTGTTGTTTATTGATATCAGACAATGATAGATTATTCAATTATTAATTAAATATTTCGTTTTGTTATTGCATTCATTTGTATAGCACTGTATCATGACTGTATCATATTTTTAGCTTTTATTATGTTGTTTTAATTGTTTTAAAATTGTTTTTATTGTTTTGTTTCACCCTTTTTAATTTTTAATTTTGTAGCACTTTGAGTTTTGTTTACGCAAATGAAAAGTGCGCTTATAAATAAAATATATTATTATTATCATATTTTGTTTCATTTGTATTTTCTTTGGTTTTACACGCTCGAAAAAAATAAATAAACTAAACTAAACTTGCAGAATATTGGTATACTGTATTTTATAGCTATTGCATTTAAACCCTATCGGCCATATTGACTGACAACTGTCACACAAATACATACACAAAAAATGTCAACGTCTATTTTAATTTTAATAAATGCCTCCTGTCATAGGTTTAAAAATGTAAATACTCGGCTGTCAGTGATAATAGTACTCAACATTAGCCTCACCTGTAATAGGTCCCAAACCAGTTCAGAGGCGTGTACAGCTGGATGATGTAGGTGCCAAAGAGAACATAGTCTCCAATCTGATCGGGAGTCAAACACATACTGAACATTACTGATCCTGTAAGTGTAATTGATACAAGTTTAGTGTACGTCAGCCATATCAATTAACCTCCCTCGAGCACCACTCACACTTTTACCACATTGCTCAGCATCAGAACAAGCTGAGAACAAAATATTTTAATATTGTTTTATAAGGTTGTTCGGAGGAAACTCTCACCAAGGACTGAGTTATTGAGGTACAGTAAGCATTTGCTACGTCTCCTACTGTAGGGGATATCTGACTGATTCAGGAGATGTCTGAGTCACTGAATCCACATTCAGTGATATCGTCTTTTACAAATACCTGGAATTGTCCTTCGGAGACGAGGTAGGCACAGAGCAGAGATCCAACCAGCAGTCCTGATCCGATGATGATGTTCTGGGTTTGATTCAGCAGAGCCAGGGAGGCTGAGCTCTTCCACTCACAGTGCTGCCAAACACAACCAGCACACATTTAACTGATAATGAGAAAATACAGGCAATTAACTTAAAGGGAACCTATCATGCAAAATGCACGTTTGTACGTCTTTTATACATGAATATGTGTCCCCGGTGTGTCAGGGAACTCACCAAGTGTCAGAAAACACAACCCTCTCTCTTTTCCTCCATACCCAAATCTCCAAAAACGGGGCTGCAACGGAGCTGATTATTATTTGAATTTTTCTGACGTCAGAAAAGGGGTGCTCCGGCTATATGGGCAACTCTCCACCTATCAGGGGAATGAGAGACCTCTCGAAAGCGCTGGAGACGCTGTAGTACATATGCCAGGCCTGTAAGTGGCGCTGTAGTCTGCCACAAAAGCAGAATCAGCCCTTGCAAAAACAGGGCTGGAAAAGAGCAAATAGAGTGACAAAGTCCCTCCCCTTCCGGGGGAGCTCCATGAGACCTTGGTTGCGTTCCGATAATCCAAAAACCAGCTCCTAAATTCTAACCCTATCTCCTATTCCTTGACCTCTGAGTGAAACGTCACGGGGTTAAGGGATAGTGGATAGGAGAATTCAAAAGGATTTAGGAGAAGAGACTGCGGTACTTTAGAGAATCCGACTGCACTTTCACTATCCGACGTGTTTATGATGCGCCAGCGGACGTCATGAATGTGCGTCTGCTGCTGTGGGGAAACTATGGAAACTACAGTTTTCTATACAGCGGACTACAACATTGATGTATAATAAGAAGGAGGGACTACTGTAAACTCATCTAGAGACTCTGCACCGTGCTCTGATGCAGTTGTTTTATGCTTTATGAACGTGGACAACAGAGAAACATATTCTTCATGACCAAAGTTGGAATTGAAATAAAAAAGGAAAGTGAAACTTATGCTCGTCACCCTCTCCCTCCGGTCCACATTAATACAAATGATCCCAATACGTATGATTGTATGAACTATGAAAATATCAATACAAATGTATTTATTATAAACGTTAGTCCTTAACATCTATCACTGTGTATATCACCATTCAAACATCTTTTAAAAGTTGAACAAACCCCACACAGCTCAGTGAAATGTTGACTTTATTTGATCATTTCAGTAAAAACTAACGTTCATATTTCTCTTTTTGATTACAATACTGATGAACGTTCAGAACAAAGCACTTTGGCAACTTACCACATACGTTTTAAAATGCTTAATAAGCACCGTAACGTTCATGATATAATTTCTCGGTCATAATCGGTTGTTTCCGTGAACGGCCGACTGTTGAGTGACGGCAAATGCGTTCCGATAATCCAAAAATCAGCTCCTAAATTCTAACCCTATCTCCTATTCCTTGACAGCATTTTCTCCTCTCCTTTCGGTAAGGGAGGTCCAGTGGTTCCTAAGCTAAAGGAGGTTATAAAGGAAGTTTGAAACCTCCTTTCCTTTCATTTAGAGAATTGGAACGGCACTTATCATGGCTGCCACTGAGGGACTTCCGGGTCATTTCACTTCGTTAGGAAGGTTCCTAAACTAAATGGACTATTGGAACGCAACCCAGGAGCTGATTTGTAAACTATCCGAACGCAACCCGAATTTCGGAAAAATTATGAGAGAAAGATTATCTTTCGATCCCGTTTGAATTGTGCCACGAATTACACATATGATGTTTGTCAATTTAAAAGATAATTTTGCGAGTCAAAAAATAAAAATGTGTCGTAAAACTGTGAAGTAACAATTTGTTTTGTGTGAAACACTTAATGAACTACATCTCTGGTCTCGCAGACACTCACAACAACACACGTCACCAAGATGGCCGTCACTACTGTCTTGTCAAAAAAGTGATTGACTACCCTCACTATCACTACAATGAAACACGTCCAGAAGAATGTCATGCAAAGCTGCCTGCCTTCCTTCGATTCTCTCTGAACTGCCTGCTCTTTTTAATGTTTAATGTCAACCATTTGTGCAGATAGCATGAAGTAGAACAGATCGCCGATGCTAATGTAGCGTTAGCATTTCTCCCCTAGGCTTAAATGGTGTATTATAGGATGATCACACCGATGTGACAGTAGGCCTACTCTTCAAAGGGTTCACGAAATATGACTACTACTCTTACTGTTTAACATTTTGGGTTACTTGATGTTACGGCTAATAAAAATGACAAGGCTAAGACTGTAATGCTAACTAAAGTGCTTGCTACTAGCTAGGCAGCTAACTTGATCCAGCCACTCCTGGTCCTTTCATCAGACGGGAAGCGAAAGAACGAGCAAGACCCATTGCTGGTATGATTACAGCCTGGTACTAAGCACACAGGCATCTTGTTAAAGTTATCTCTAGCTATCTCTTATATTTAGCGGAGGAAAACAATTGTGACATCAGTTATGACATCACTGGGATTTGTAGTCTTTCTCGTTGCGTATTTATCATAGTCTTATATTTCAACAGTTTTACGACAAACTGTGACTTTTTTAACATGGAAAATATTTTTTAAGATTGACAAACATCATGTGTGTAATTCGTGGCACAATTTAAACGGGATCGAAAGATAAGTTTTCTCTCTCCATTGACTTCAATACATAATTTTTCCGAAATAAGGTCCCATGGAGCGGAAGTAGATGGGCGTGACTTCGCCACTCTGTAGAGCGAAATGAGGCATGGCTAAAATGCATGATCTGTTTGGTATTTTGAAAAAATAACTTCACAGACATGTTTTATATAGCCCTACAATATATGTTTCAAATATAGCATGATAGGTCCACTTTAACATTGGAAGTGTATTTAAATCTTTACTAACTAAAGCTTTCCACTTTTATTAGCACACTAATGGGATGTCTATTTGCTTTTAGCTGTTTTTTGGTACAGATGATGTTCACTTGACGGTAGCACAAGCTTACCTGATACTTCAAAATGGCTTCCTCAAAGCAGCGGATTTCATAATCCTCAGCGCAGTAATACTTCACCTGGGAAAATAAATCAAATCAACAGAGAAAGAGATGAAAAATAATGGAATTGACTGATACTCAAATATTAAAACACATATTATTAAACCCTTTAAAATGTTGGAAAAACAGAAAGACCAGTTGTGACACACACCTGAACATACCAGTATACATATATGCATTTAACAGGAAGTGTTGGGCGTTATTTACCGTCTCAAAGTTTAGCAGGGAGTCTACAGCTCTGGATTTGGAGTTGTTGTCTTGATCGTTCATCTCTCTTCTGTATTTTGTCCTCCACTCTGTGATCAGGATAGTACAGGCTGCAGACAAGAGGAGAGCAAATCATTTTGGAGCTGCATTTGGTAAGATTGTTTTGTAAACTAATATAATACATTTTTCCTGATTTACATATAGTAACGTTTCTAAATCAATCAAATAAAATGAGTGTTGGGTGAGGGCAGTAACAATGTGTTAAAAACAACACCCAATATACAATATGCCGGTCGGAGTAATTTACTTTGACCCTTATAATGACTGAATTTAATGAGAAGCATGCCTCTGTGGCACGCACACACACACACACACACACACACACACACACACACACACACACACACACACACACACACACACACACACACACACACACACACACACACACACACACACACACACACACACACACACACACACACACACACACACACACACACACACACACACACACACACACACACACACAGACCCACTGAGGTAGAGCACCATGCAGGTGAAAACGATGAGTCCAACCAGACACTGAAGTAGGAGACGAAGTAGATGATGGCGATGATGATGTCACAGATGGTGGGAAGGATACTGAACAGGATGTAGCTAAAGCCAGAAACAACCAAAAAGTATCATTATAGATAAAAAGTGTGAGTTGGTTCCTTTGTACCATTGTGTCCCATTTTGTGACCACATGTCCCCCTCCCCCCCCCCCAACAGTCTCACCTCAGCAGGTTGTTGACGGAGGAGGTGCCTCTGTCGACGCTCCTCAGCACGTCTCCGGTGCGTCTCTCCAGGTGCCAGCGCAGAGACAAGCCGTGCAGCTGGGAAAACAAACACACCTGAAGAGTGGAGGGAGGGGGCAGACAGAGACTTCCTGTTACATGTCTTTACATGATACTTTTTTATGCATGTTTCTTCGTAACATTAAGCTGTCTTTGGCTCTTTTTCTGCTGTAACAACGTACAATTCCCCTCTGGGGGACTAATACAGGTATTCTGATTCTGAAATATACAATGTCGGTCACAGTGAAAGTGTTTCCCATGCTGCAGCTGAAGCACAATTCTCTGTCCCTATATCCTAAACAGCACAAGCTATAGCCTTCTTTATCTAAAGATGAGTCATTTGTATGGCTCCTCAAATCCCAGTCAAAACAATCTGTATCGTCACGGTTTCTGACTCCTTAAACCATACATAACAGAGATCACTGTGCCAGTCCTAACTAAATCAGTTATGGACAGACAGCTCTGCACGTCTAATTATGTGACCACTTCTTCCGGAGATATGTTTAAAGTTAAATGTTTCAATATATTTTAAATAATGATATATAGGAAATAACATACCAACAACACTTGCAACCATTTCTGACCATGAGACCTAATTTGAGACCATGTCCACTGTACATATTTGATCAGTAATTGGCTATAGCGAAACAATGACACAAGACGTCTGAGTGGTACCTGAACGCCTCTGCTGGTAAACTGCTGAACTCTGATCCACAGGAACTGACGGAGGTTGCTGATGAAACCAGAGGTACCTACAAGAGAAAGTGAGATGGGAGAGGAAAAAACCTCACGCTTCTGTAAGATGTAAACACATTTTATTTCGTAAACACACACTCATATGAATACACACCTGCCCCTCCTCCCTGTAGGAACTTGAGCAGTGTGTAGATGGAGACGGTGAAAACCAACGAAGTCCAGCCGCCTCCTGCAGAGAGCTCATTCACTGTAAACACACACCATTTTTATTTTTAGCTGCATCATTATTTTTTTCCGATGACATTAATGATAATCCAGTAGACTAGATTCTCAAAATTGAACAGCATTATGCTTTCTTTCAGTGCATATTTATGTGCTCATCAAACGAACACTTGACTATTGCTATTACTCATTTAAAAAATAGTAAGCACAAATGGATGAATAATACTTGAATTATCCTGCAGTGTTGTGTTTATATGAGGATGCTTGATATCGTTTTTCTGTTGTTTATCGCTGCCCTCATTTATTTGAATTCAGTTTGTGTGTGTGTAGCCTTTATTTAACCAGGTGAAGCCCCTTGAGATCAAAAGATCTCTTTTTCAAGGGTGACCTGCAGGACATTAGTTACACATACAAAAACAACAGAACAACAATAAGGATGACATACAACATAATGCACAGGGTACAGTTTACAAACTCTATTTACAGTGACAGGTACCATGAGTATCAAACACCCAGCCGAGTTTTAAAATACTACAGTACTTTGTTTGGTACTTGATTTACAACAATTTCTTCACTTTCACTGTGGTATTTCTACATTTACTCATGTAAAACACATTTCCCACCACTGACACACAAACATTCACACACTCCCCTTTTTGCCCCACAGACACATTCATTACCATTTGGTACAAGTGCTGGGAATCAGGATGAAAAAGAGAAAACACACTCAGATGAGGGCAGTATGAGAAGAAAAGGAAGATCCAGACAGAGACACAGACATGGTGTGAAAAGGGAGAACATTTCATTTTTAAAAGATGGAGAGAAATGAATAAAGAAACGTGTGTATTCAATATTCTTTTTACTTCTCTAGTGTGTGTTTTCAGTGGGGGGTATTTTCAACTCTTTGGCATTAGGTCCTGGAGTCTGAGGGTGGGAGGCGGGGTCGGACCCGGAGACAAAACGTCCGTTGTACCGGTGAGTTAACTCCACGAAAAAGGCCGCTAATGCCGGCTAAGCATGACTGGCAGGAGGGGTGACCTCCCAGGAAAACCCTCCACGCACACACGCACACACACGCACACACACACACACACACACACACACACACACACACACACACACACACACACACACACACACACACACACACACACACACACACACACACACACACACACACACACACACACACACACACACACACACACACACACACACACACACACACACACACACACACACACACACACACACACACACACACACACACACACACACACACACACACACACACACACACACACACACACACACACACACACACACACACACACACACACACACACACACACACACACACACACAAAGCTCCTCCACGCCTTCCTCATCACACAAAGCAGCGCTCGGCTTCATTCTCTTAGCGCCGGCTTCTACTTTCATGTTGCTCCAAAAGCCAAATGGCCAGTTTTCTAAAGGGTAAAGTAGCTAAAGACACACTGAATGCTGACTTCCTCTGAAGTGGAGGCTTCTGGGTCGCTGCCTTGTACTGGAGGCATGCAGTCCTGTGTACAAAATAGGGCAAAAGAGACTTTGGCAAATAATGACACCCCCCCCCCTTACAGAAATGAAGGTTGCTTTCTCCTTCAAACCAGCAGCTGAACTGTTTGCATCAGCACAACATATTTTTGGGGATCATGATGTTGCATACATGACCGAATTTATCCATTAGAGGTCTGAAGTGAATGATATAATTAACACTTGTTACAGAGTTATATGGGTGTCTTCAGCTGTGTGTTTTAAGTGTGTTAATTGCATTACATCTGTAGTAACTTTTTTTTAAAAGGCTTAGAATTAGCTGAAACTGTCACTTTATGCTTACAGTAGTGCACAGGACAAATATTTTGTAAGAACAATCAAAAAGGCTATGAATATTCCATTTTCAAGAAATGTAGTAGAAGTCTGTAAAGGTGTAATTCTTGAAAACCAAATTAAGTCTGGATGATCAAAGAAGTATGATTTAAAGCCCAAACTAATGCTGTTTTAATAAAATGACATCGAGGTCATAAACACACTAGGATGAGACTACATAGCCTAACCCTAACTCAAGAAAACAAGGACATAATCAATCAAGGTCATGATGGAACAAAACACTTCAAAAACACAATGACACTGCCCTCTAGAGTTCGAAAAATGCAGTAAACAGGAAAATGTTCCAGTTTGACTTCTGTTCCTGGGAAGTGTTTCACTGTTTGAATAAAAGCATCAGCTAAATGTAATGTAATGTAATGTTTGTGTCACTACCTTACGCACGTTGTAAAATACATATTTACAGAACTAAGAAACATCTGGATCTCCTATTCCATTATTGCAGCTTCTCTGTCTTTAGCTTACCAATGTTCTTGGAGTAAACCGGCACAAGCACATTGACCAGACGCTCCGTTGCCAGCAGGCCCACACACAGCAGCACGAGTCCTTGCAGTGCCGCAGTGCCTTTGGGCCAAACATAGGGCAGCAGCAGCCTCACTTTCCTCCTGAAGCCTTGCCAGGCAGATGAGGAGGAGGGAGAGGAGGAGTGATCCATCTGGAGGGAGAGAAAGAGAGTCAGAAAATGTTATTTTATAATTTTTCTTAGATATCATAATTTATGTGTTCTGTCATTTCAGAAACTGGCTATTACTGAAGATGATTAGGGCCAAATGTGAAAATGTTTTTGTGATCTGAGTCTAAAGTCGGAATTCTGAGAAAGAAAAGTCAGAGTTCTGACTATAAAATTCAGACTTTTCCTCAAAATATTGACTTTTCTCAGAATTCAGTTTTTTTTTACTGAATACTGACTTTTTTCTGATTTCTGACTTTAATCTGAGAAGTCAACAAAACATCTGCTTTGGTCAGCTCGCAGACATTCTTTTTTCACGTGGCCCTAATCCTCTTTCGTAGGCTATAGTTTAAAACATAAATTCAGCATAAATAAATGTATAGCAATACGTAAATCCATTTAATTAACTCACCTCAACGACTCTTTTTCCTCCTCTTCCACTCTTCACAGTGATGTCTGCCATGTCAGTCCTCTCCAGTTTACTGTGATTTATTCAGCAGCAGAACAACTACAAGTCACTCACATACACACATTCTTGTTCAAGGATTACTGGCAAATATGTAATTAACTCGAGCTGTACTTGTGCCTGCTGTGATGGTTTTTAAAAGCAGTCACACTCAGGGGGACTGTGTACACACACCACACACACACACACACACACACACACACACACACACACACACACACACACACACACACACACACACACACACACACACACACACACACACACACACACACACACACACACACACACACACACACACACACACACACACACACACACACACACACACACCACACACACACACACACACACACACACACACACACACACACACACACACACACACACACACACACACACACACACACACACACACACACACACACACACACACACACACAGACACACACACACACACTCTATTGTGTTTTGAGCTTTCAGCATAAAGTAGCTGTGGTCAGCATTTTGTTTTGAGCCGTGAGTTTGTGTGAGAGAGGGAGACAGGGTTTGACGACTGTGTGTGTGACAGGGTTATCAAAACAATAAAATAAAAGTGCTGAAGGATCAGGGATATTTTCTAAACTACAAGATAGAAAAACTAAAATATTGTTATGCAAGACTCAAGTATTTCAATGTGTTGGGCTAGTAGGTAGAACATATTGATACAGAAGCTTCAAGTCAATCTAGGTTTTCACCCTTTTCTGTCTTTTGGGGTTTTGTTATAATGTTCACTCTGCCTCTTTAAACATTTTGAAACTGAAGGCTTAATTGCTGCTTAATATTTTTCAATGCATGTGAATGTATTAATCGTGTTAAAATGTACAACCTCAGCATCTACACTCATCTGTATATCATCTGGTATAATTCACATGGTTTGTTTTGAAGATGTAAAATGAATAAATTAATTCAGATGATTCAAGAATATGCTACTTTCACCCAGTGCTAATGAACCCTCTGAAATGTATCCAAATGTTATAGCACCACCCAGTGGGGAAACACACAGAAAAGCCTGTCACAAGAGAAGGAGACAGTGAGAGGAAAAATAGAAACAAGCAGGTTGTTTATTAGTAAAGAAAGAGTAACAAACCAGCAGGTTGAATGGAGTAAGAAGAGTTAGCCTGTACAGGAGTGTGCAGCTGCACACAGCGACATGAAGACATCAGCGTGATGTTCTCTGTGGACGAAGCTCAGCAGGAACACCATCAGGATACAGAACAGGCAGGCATTCAACAGGTGAGCCACCACGGTGCTACGCAGCTCTCCCAGCCAGGACAGATGCATTGTGGGACTAAATCAACCAGGAGAGCCTCTAGTTTAACTTTAGAAGAAGATCTGAAAGTCTTCAACATAAAACTTCTATGTCTTTATACTTCTTTAAAGGCATCATTTACATTTCCCTCCATGACATTTGATAGCTTCAGTTGTTAGTTTTTTAATTAAATTAAATCCCCCCCAAAAATGTATAGATACAAGTTCATCAATCTGCTAGGGACGACATCCAGCAGTTTGTAAAGTCATTACAATTAGTGTCACTTTTATCAGCTGTGGTAGAAAAGTAATATGCACAATAATGCATCAATTGTTTTGATCTTATAATATAATATGCAATACTACCCGTATCTGAATATAGTACTTTTACTGTTGTATGTTTTGATACCAATACACTGCAGTACTTTTACTAACGTCAGCGTCGTACACTGTGGTTTCCTTCTTCGTCTAGCAGCCACTTTTATTCATTCATTCTGGTTACATGAATTCATTCAAATCCAACTGCTTAAAAACACAGGTGATTTAGGGAAAGGTCTACACTTTAGACTCGGGACTCAAAATGTTTTAACTTTATCAAGTATTTCCTAACCTAAAACACAACATGTGAAGAACGGTGTTGTCTTATCTTACTGAAACATGACTCAAATTAGACTCGTTGACAGATTTCTTATATTAAACAACCGAAAGATCAGCTTCTTCAGAGAGTTAAACCGAGGTTTCCACTGCAGCAAGGTCAACCAGCTTTAGACAAGACTAGTACTTACTTATACTGTACACTATTACTTCACCACATGTTTCAGATGGTTATTGAACTCCCTCCGTATTGTGCAGATGAGTGGTCATTTGTACAGCAACCTTATTATTAACAGTTTTAACAAGACAGAAATGCAGTCTGAGAAAAGCTTAAATATTCTGGTAATATTATGTGTGTTTGAAAGCTTGGTTATACACTATACCTCATGATGACCCTGAGTGCTAGGCTGAAATACCACAAGACAGAGCAAAGACTTTACTTTTTCAGTTGAAATGTAAACAAAAAGTAAATAAATGTTTACTGTAAAAGAAAAACAGCACATGGGGAAATGTTTAGGGACCACAAACTGTAACTGAATTTTGCTTTCAGTCTTCACAATCTGATGTTAATTATTATTTTTCTTTAAAGAAATGACAAACATTTGCTTCAGGCATTCCGGATTATCCTACATTTTTAGCAACATTTGATAAACCCTTATTGTTTAATCATGCAGTCGAAGCACTTCTGTCAGCTTAAAGCGAGGCAGTCAGGGTATTTCATTCAAGAGAAACAACTGTAGGTTTCTTAGCTAACAGTTGAGGTTTCATATGGAGGCTCAAAGCGTTCAATTCTTCAACAGTAATAAGACATTATAGAATATCTATTGTATGAATAATACAAAATGTGTTAAAGCCATGACTTGTGGTATAATCCTGTTTCCTGTTAAAGGGGCGGTGGTGGCGAAGTCGATAGGGACTTGGCTTGGCAACTGGAAAGGTCACCAGTTCAAGTCCCGGAAAGACCAGGTGCTACCGAGGTGTCCCTGAGCAAGGCACCGTTCCCTACACTGCTCCACGGGCGCCGTTCAAAATGGCAGCACACTGCTCCTAACACAGGATGGGTCAAATGCAGGGAAACAATTTCCCCACGAGGGATTAATAAAAGTCCATCTTATCTTTTGCTAAAACAGAGCTCACTATTTAATATCAACAGTTTCCTTTTGCATGCATCTGTTTTTAATACTGTAGACATTTCGCCTGATTGTTTCATTCATAACGTCACTTTGTCCTCAGGTTTCAGAAACTGAATGAACACTTTGAGTCTCCAAAGACCAATATGAAATACAACCATTGTTTTTAATGCCGTTTGTTTTAGCACTAATGTTAACAGCATTTATACATCAGCTTGTTAGTTGATACAGTTAGCCGCAGCCTTGAAGCACTACTTCTGTATTTATTATTGAATAATTGAACACAAAGCTGTTCTGTTTAGTAGTAGGAGATGAATAACACATGTTCAAAAATAATGCTGTGTTTTGTGTAGAGCACTCTATGCTTTGTCCCTGATGAGAAGATGAATCTGAGATAAAACAGCAGAACATTAGTACCTGAAAAGATCTTGTTACAGCTATAATAAAAAAACATGTAGATTTGCACGGATGTTTTTGTATGAGCTTACATTTGCACCATTCTGCATCCCTGGCTTAAATAAACGCTTACTATAGTAGTACACTAAATGCTTAGGAGGGAAAAGAGCGTGGTGAAAGCAGAGGACAGCACTTGTGATGGCAGAACACATTCTACAATTTGTTTACATTCATCAGTAGAAACAAGACAGTAAATGGACTCTTCTGTCTAAAGACCCGAGTTAGCAGCCACATCAACTATTTAACAAGACAAATTACTACCGCTATGGCTGGTTACTTTCCACAGTGGCTGCTCCACAAATGTACAAACAAGTTAATTTCCCACCTTAACACCAAATGTCACAGGTTTTTGTTTAAGAAACAAGACAGATTTCTAAACCTGATTTCTAAACCATACCTGGTGAATTTACATGCAGGTTATCCCTGATTATTCTACCTTTTTTGTAATAGTGATATCAACGAATGATAAGTGTCCTATAGAAAGGGCTTCAGTCTCCACGGTGCCTTCTCCTGTAAAAGGTCCAGTCGTCCTCTGTATTCCGTTTTTCACCTTCAATGTACTGATGCTACAACTTTAGCCCAGTTGGTGTAGTTCATGACGGTTCAGTTCAGTTTGGATCAGTCAGTGATTTGATGTAAATCCAGCGGTTCACTAGGACACTATTAACAACGTGAACTCTGCTGCTATAGTCCAGCAGCTGTTCAGTTCAGTTTGATTTCTTCACCTAGCGAAGACAGACTGCTCCAGGTCACATATCCAAATATGATTTCACTATCAACCTCAGTTCTGGAATAAATAAACATTCAATAAATAAAAAAGTATATCATAGCGAGGGTTCAGCGCTGTTGCATCCAGTCCAAGAAGCTTTACGTGTTGGGGGTTTAAATCACAGCTGCAGTTTTTATATATTGTCATTCAAAAATGATCTGTTATACTTCATACCAAACGCACAAATAAGAATGAAATATCCTGTTTGAGACTAGTTGTTTTTGCTCTCTACCGTTCAGACTTTTTAGTTATTTTCTACGTAAACAAGGAATTTCCCACAAGTCATTTGGACAAGCAAGTAATTGTTACCTTCACCAACATGGAGGTTATTTTTTAAGCTTGTTTTTTGTTTGTCAGCGCGATATTCATGAAGCTTGTTAGACAAGAGAAAAAGCTATTACATTTCAGAGGATAGCAAAACCATGGGGTTTCTTTAGAATTACGAGATAGGGCATGACCTTTGCATTTAACAAATCACTATGCATTCAATGCCACAGTTACCAGAACATGCATGCTATCGGGTCAATTGGTTTATATTTTGTCTCACAATTATTTTGTGAATTAATCCCCAGGTTCTGGTAATCCAGTCAAAGGCTTCTTGATAGAGGTCCAGGATTAAAACAGCAACCAAACCAACATTTTCTTTAGACTCTCTTTCGTGAGTCTTTCTCATTCAAATCAGACTATATGAAAACAAATGCATCTTTAGCAGGTTTTTCACAGTGCATTCCCTCATTGGTCACTGTATACACTCACTAAGCCTTTTTAATATGCTCAGTCATGTTAGCAAAAGTATGTGATCTGATCATGGGTGGTAAATGCTTTTCAGTTGGTGAGTGATCCTCTCTACAGATCCAAGTGAAAAAGATACAAGATCAGATTATCTCCTAACGTAACTGGCTCCGCTTGCCTCCAATATACACTCTCTCCCTGTAAAAATAAATATTACAAATATAAACTAATATGTTGCCATAATGTTTGCTCACAGTGTGTTTTCTAAATGCTAATTTTCTCAACTTTTAGATTTTTTCTTTGGGTTTTATTGGGTGTTTTAGGCAGTTTTTGGAACCCGCTTCTTATGTAATTGTTGAAACTAGGTGATCTAGTGTTAGTCAATAAATAAATATAATTCAGCCATTTATTTCAATTATTTCATCTTCTTATTATAAGTTTGGTCTGACTGGTCCTTGGAAGAGGATTCAATCTCGCACTACATGACAAATCCAGGCACCAAATCCCTTTCCCACGCACACATTAATAAATACAGGATAAAATGAAATGCTTAAAATATATGGTAATGTTATTGTTGGGGTCCCGGTGGTCACAGTGTGTTTCCCATGCTGCTGCTCACCAGCCCTTTGATATTAGTGATGGGCCGGACGTCATGCAGCTGTTTTCTCCTGTCAATAAATGTGGCCAGCCGCGTAGTGTCCAGGGGCTTCTTGGAGTGTTCCCCACCGTGTGCCCCCCCGCGGCCCACCCAAGGGTGCTGCAGACAGGAAGTAGCGCTTGGCCTCTTCCTGGGATCCTGCTGCAGCAACGAGGACACGAAGTCCCTCGCCGCCTGGCTCACATCTCGGAAGTATTCATCCGGGAAGCAGAAGTCCAGGCGGCAGATGTTCACGCAGGTTTCCTCCGGTGACTCATCCAGAAACGGGGAAACCCCACTGAGCATCACGTAGGCCAACACGCCCACGCTCCACATGTCCGTGGCGACAGAGACTGGAGTCCCACGGATGAGCTCAGGTGCAGCGAACTCTGGGTTTCCGAGCAAGAGGTGGACGTACCGGCGGTGAGCGGACAGCTGGACGGCATCACCGAGGTCGATGAGTTTAATGCCCGGGGTGTGAGAGTGGAGGTCCACCATGATGTTCTCAGGCTGCAGGAGAGAGAAACATATACAGATTATGTTAATATAAAATGTGATTCTTATAAATAGTTACAAAAAGTTGGAAGATGCAACTCCAAAAGTTCCCAAATTCAATTTTACATATCAATCAATCATCCGACACCCTCTCTCCTTAGACCCTCACAATGGACAAGGATAAACTCCCAAATAAAGGTGTCGCCAAAAAACACTACATGGGGTCAGGCAGGACCCCGGCAACAGTTACAGCTACAGCCAAGACTATTGATGCAAATGTATCATACAGCTCCACCAGATAATCGATTACATTACCAAAGCAGACATGAAAACAAATAAGAAACTTGCTCCATTGGTAGGTGAAGTTAGTCTTCATTGATGTAGCACACACTCTCACCTTCAGATCCAGGTGTGTCACTCTGCAGGTGTGAAGGTGCTGCAGGGCCTCGAGTGTCTCTCTGATGAAGAACGCCAACTTCTCCTCCATCAGCTCATCACAGGCCACCAGGTAGTCGAGCAAACGCCCGTCCTCCAGCCTGACACACACACAGGATTATAAGACTCCAGTGTTAAAGGTCACCTATTGTGCAAAATCCACTTTTTCATGTCTCTTCTACATCAACATGTGTCCCCTCTGTGTAAAGAGACTCTGAAAGTTTCAGGAACAAAGATTCTCTCTCTTTTTGTCCTGATCCATTTCTATAAAAACCTGTCTGAAAATGAGCTGATCAGATTTTGGTCACTTCATGATGTCATAACGATTTTTTGGCTTGTGTAACCATTAGCCAATCACTAACCAAGGTAACCCCCCCCCCCCCTTATCACCTGAATCTCCTCCTAGAGCACCATTGTGTTCTTTTTAACCAAATGTCTCTCAGGGGGGCGTGGGGAGGGGCTCCTTATTTTCATCTAAAGTAACAGACAGAGAATCAGCACTTTGGAAACAGGGCTGAAACAGAGGGGATTATGGGTAATGATCTGTTTGGATCTGATTCTTGCCTCGCTTCTGAAGCAAGTGACTCGGAAGACATGTGCTACCAAGCAAGCGTCCTCGACATTGAGAAACACCCAGTGAATCAGCACTTTGGAAACAGGGCTGAAACAGAGGGGATTATGGGTAATGCTACAATGATCTGTTTGGTGTTTGGAGCCAAACACTTCAGAGACATGTTTTGTATATATCTGAGACCTATAATATATTGATGAAAAGGAGTATATAGGGGACCTTTAAGGGACAAGGGCTTGAGACATTAAAAGTTCATTTTGTCATAATAACGTTTATTTTGAAGCAGGAGGTTCTTTTCATCAGTCAGACTCACAGCTCCATGATCAGCATCAGAGAGGTTGGAGACTCGTACGTGTCCAGCAGCGCCACCAGCTGGTGATGCTGCACGTGTTGGAGGACGTCCGCCTCATGAGCCACCTGCTCCTTCTTCTGCATCTTCTTACTCACAAATTTAACCGCAACCTGAACAGAGTAAAAAAAGCATGTTACAACACACTGCAAGACAAAACAATAACATTCACTGGAAACGGAAACATTCAAAACCTTACATATGATTAAATAAAAAAATACAACTCAAAACTTGGATCACATACAGTCTCAAGATCTACTGAACCCTGATTCATGAAAATCATTTTAGAAAAACTCACACAGTATAACTGAAAATACAAAATGGGCAAACTGCCACCTTATTTATAATAAAAACTTTTTTGAATGTAACTACATAGAAGAAATAAATTACATTTCCCAAACACAGGCTATCACCGCAAATCAAAAAACGTTAACACTTATGAGCACACACTTTACAACAGCATCAGTTTTTACAACACTTTAATTGTAACTTGCCTCTTTCTTTGTAGATTTGTTGAGACATTTTCTCACCACTGAAAATCGTCCCCTGGTGAAACAAACAAGAACAAGAGAGGCTGAATTAAAAGGTCACTCATCTCAGACATCTATCTACACCTGGGGTCAAAATCAATCTTTGGTTGTTAATCACATTATCCTGAAAGTCAGTACATTTGCATCACTCTACCTTCCGATCTCACAGATTTCAGAGAAAGTCGACTCAAAGTTTTCTTTCCACTGGATCCCTGTTCCATCATACCCAGAGTCTGGACAAAGATCGATAAAATGAGATCAATAATATGGAGTCATAAGGTCACATGATATGGAAACTATTGAAGAAATATATTATTTTCAGTAAGAAAAATAGCTGAATATTCACAAAAATATTGGTATAACATTTAAAAAGCCACAACATTCAATAATAATAATAATAATTGTATCTTATTTGTCCAGTACAGTATAATATATCTAGTATGATTGGGAGTCAATGGGTCACATGACATGAATGCTATCAGAAATTAACGAGACTTTAAAAAAAGAAAATGCAGGACTTTACCTAAAATATTTATTGTTTCAATGTTTTCTTCCGGGCCAAGACTCATATCCAATCTTAACACCTTTAGTAATGTTAAGAAAACGGTAATCTAGTCCTTAATGCATTGAAATCGGACTATTGTCTATCATAAACTCTGGGAAAGGCATAATTGCTGAAGGACAATATGTCTGGCTCCCACATTAGTCAAAGTCAACTTTATTGTCAATCTTTCAGTTTGTGTGCACGGACAGAGAGAACGAGATACCGTTTCCCACAATCTCGAATACAATAACAAAAATATATAAAAATATGTATATACCCATATATATATATATATACACACACAATCAACAGACACATTTATACATATGCCCACATGAAGACATAAATGAATGACTTGTGAATGAATGAATGGAGTGTGTCAGACTTACTGGTGCTGGGCAGTGTGATCATGTTGGAGGGTTCGGAGGGAGGGCCGACCCCCCAGCGGTTGGAGGCTCGCACTCTGAACTGATAGTGACCTCCAGGGATCAGAGCGTCGATCTGAACACACTCCTCTTTGCTGCTGGCCACCTGCTGCCATAGCAACGAGTCTGAAAGGGAGAGAAAAGGTAAACGTTGTATATGTGTGGATAATACTGAAAGTACACTTCCAATATCAGAGTAGCACATGATAACAAAGGCCCTACGTAGCTGTGTACGTAACAGGATGTGTGATTACCTAGAAGAGCATCAGGACTGTTTTAGGCATATGATAGCTATGTGATTAACATGATGATTCAGCCTCTACGGAGATAGACATATGACTGTCATGTTTATTGCTTACGTGGGTCTTAGCTAATCTAAACTAAACATTGTATACTGCTTTGAACCGGTATTCTGCATCTTGCGACCTTGGGTCCCTTAAAAGGCGTTATATAAATATAATTTATTATTATTATTATTATTGTGACTGAATAACACCCTCTCTTGTATATCAGCACGGGACACTGTTCTGGGAACTAGTTGTCCCAAATGCTCTGTATGTGATGACTACTTCCATTCTTGCAAGGATAATAAATACATGTATCCTGATATTGAAGCTCAAGCCGGTGACGAGTGATATTTTCCTAACAATGTGCATATTTAAAAAACAACCATCCACACGGTATTCACATCCACAGGACACACACCTTCCTGTCTGTACTCCACAGTGTAGCTGCTCACACTGCAGTGAGCAGAGGAAGCTGGAGGTGGCCATTGGATCATCACCGCCGTGCTGCTGGCCTCCTGAGCCACCGGCCGCCCAGGGGCTGCTGGGATACCTGCAGGAGAGAGGAAGAAACTACACAGTCAAAAAAACACTTCAGATGCTCTGCTTAGAAGGAACTGCTGTTGGAAATCTCAAGGTTACAGAAGGTTAAAATACTCTTCATTGAAAAACGTTAGGAACCAAAATCTCTCTACCATTACACCTTCAGATTCAATCAAATTCAATTCAAAAGTAAGGTAAGGTACATTTATTTATATAGCACATGTTCAGACACAGAGGCCATTTAAAGTGCTTTACATCAAAATGTACACTTGATAGGAAGACAAAAGAAAGGAACACAATAAATAATTAACATTGTAAATACAGTAGGTGCTAAAACAAGTTAAAATACTTCTGGGCAGCTAAAAAAAGTAATGCTTTTAGCCTCGATTTAAAAGAACTCAGCGTTGGTGAATACCTCATGTTTTCGGGAAGTTTAAAAAGGCTTCATTGTCATGTGCCATATAGCTACAGCATCCTCCAACAGTCCAATATACTTAAGATATAAAAATGTAAATTATATAAATATATATACTAAGTGTAGTTCTTACAGGTTTTTCTTAATTATTATTTTTATTTGAAATGCAGCTTTTAATCCGGGCATGTTACCTTGCACTTTGATGGAAGCGGAGGATGAGGCAGAGCCGTGGTCGTTAACGGCAACACAGGTGTAGATCCCTGTGTCCTGAGGCATCAGGTTACAGATCTTCAACAGGATGTCACCTGTATCCCTAGAGAGGAGAAAGAAGAGAAAGAACAAAATAGAAATTAAAAGATGGAGCAGGAGAAGAAATGTAGGAGTAGTATAACACAAATAAATGAATGAAACGAGGCGGAGAAGACATCAAATAGGAGGATGTGGAAGAAGATAATTCAAATAAAGCAGGTTTCGGTAATTTAACAAAGGAAACTGCACCATATGAACCCATGCAGTAATGGCATACCTGATGTCTATGGTGAAGCGGTTGTTGCTGGTCACTGGGTTCTGGTCCGGACCCTTCAGGGTGACCGAGGGTTTGGGTCGTCCACACACTTTACAGCAGAGGACCACCGTCTCCCCGAACGCACACACCACGTCTGACAGAGGGACGAGGAACTCTGGAGCCACTGCACACAGGAAACACAAAGAAATAAGGACATTTCAAGTCGGAGTTTAAAAGTGATATACGACTGGAGCAAATACTCTTCATTTAGCCATCTGGCCTGTTATAGTGTGGGTGGCCTTCTAGTTTGAGAACATGATTTCATTATATTCAATCATATCGTCTGATATGTAGAATAAACAACCTTCCCCAACCTTAAATTAGTGGTGCTATTTAGGCATAACCGATAAGTGGGCCCTCATTTTGGCACAAAGTCAATACAGCGCTCCGTTCTGCCACTCGTTGGATAAATGTTATTCTTCTTTGGTTTATACATTTGCTAGATTTGGTGAGTTATGGGGATGTGGACTTTGACCCAGTTAGCAGCTCAGCTTAGGGATTCAGACGAGTGTAAACAGGCTGATTTTGGTGTGATAAATGAATCAGACCTGCTGCCAGCCCAATTTAGGTTTTGTGGCAAATAGTTACCAAAAACCGATGTTGTAGGAAGTAAAACAGCATTGGTGAGGTGTGTGCAGGGGCCTCTTTGTCAAAAGCTATTTAATCGTTCTCTAGGTGCTTGGCTTTCTTGTAATGTTTATTATTACAGCGAAAAACAAAGAGAAACTGCATCGTCAGAAGCTCATAAGGATGCATTACCTTCCTGGATGAAGTTTGGGTTGAGAAGCTGAAAACAGATGAGGACAAATGTAATGTTTAGGCAGATAATACATCTGAAAAACAGTCTGCCTTTGTCGCAATATTTGAAAACATTACAATACTTTAGTGTAAGCTTCACTTTATAGAGTTTTACATTGTTTTTTTATCTGGTTTTGTAACGCCATGCAGCTTTAACAAAATATATTGTGTGTTCATACCTCCATGCCAGTTTTTGGGTCAAGGTCATCGTCACAGTCAGACTCATCTGAAGTGTGAAGGTCCTGGTGGAGAATAAAGGAGGAACAGGAACGTAGAAGAGCGGGAAAAGGAGAGTGAGATGTTGGATTGGAAAAAGGGTAGATGTTAGGGGATAAAGGACGAACACAAAGGTCATTAAAGACAGAAGCAGTTGGTGATGGACAAAGAAAAGTAGAATTGAGATTATTTCCAAGAGAAGGAGGCAGGTGAGGATAAAAGAGAAGGGCATGAAGAAGAAGAAGAAATCGAGATTTTGAAGAAAATTCAAGTCAAAGAAAGTTTTGAGAAGTGGATGAAGATAATATTAGGAGTATGTGTTACTCTGTGTAAAGAAAATAAATCACTCCTATAATCGTGCCTGCTGTGCCAGGTTTAATAATCCTGGGTTCTGACTGACTGATACTCACCTGAGCAGTTTTGAATTTGGTTGTGGAATGATAAACCTCAATGTCCAATCAACTATCTGCGTGTTGGAAGTCAACGCAAAACTGGTTTAAACAGCAATTTAACAAACGGCTACTCTATGGCACCAAGAAAGTTCCCAAAAGCACACTTTTGTTACACTTGCAGGATCCATGTTCTCAGTTAATTACTTTTCTTTTGTGTATACAAAGAGACAAAACCGATTTGAACATCTTTCTAAGCCTCATATCAAAAGGATAACAGTGCTGTACATCTTAGCATTCACAATGATCTGAGCTTGACATTCCCAGTTGTAGATACTTCAGTACATCATAGCATACCTTACGAAAAACTATTTACAGCCTTTAAAACCCTTTTCAAGCTTGATACTTGCAAAAAGCCATTCGACATGAATCACTTGAACACAGGTTTTGGAGTCGTTTTTTTCCCATAACATTTTTCATCATACGAAACCATACACTGTACATTTCCCACATCTTTAACAGAGATTATTTGTTAGAATTGCAGACGAGAAACGTAAAGTATAAGACTCTAGTGCTTCATTTTCACTTTGAAACAGCAACAATGAACTAACATCATGATAAACTTCACAACATGTCACATCTACACATCAAACAGGTTTTGGTGAGTTGCATGGTGTTAGTCCACTACAGAAAAAACACTGGTTAGCACAGCAGAGTAAAAACAAAATAAATCAATAAGTCAGTAAAGTCTACCTCTATCCATGCACAAGGAGGGAGAAATAAATCACAACACAAAACACAAAAATAAATCAGATTTTATTTCAAATCAGTGCATTTGAGGGTTTGGGGTCAAATACAAATGTTGAAACAAACTTGCAGTGTTCTTCTTTAAGGGTTCTCAACAATCTTAGATTTTAAAACGTCATATTTACTCACATGTTTAAGTTTGAACTTTCCTTTTCAACTCTTACCTTTAGTTCACACTGGCATTAATGACGAATTAATGCAAAACGTTGCCCTGGAATTATGTATTATTTATTACAGCTAATTAAATCCACAAAGCTTATTTTGTTATTTTAAGGCAGGGGTGTCAAACTCAATTTCATCACGGGCCACATCAGCATTATGGTTGCACTCAAAGGGCCGGTTGTAACTTTAAGACTATATAAAAAGACATATATAAATATTGAATATATATGAAATAACGTATTATATTACATTATTGCCTCTGCATTGGATTATTATCGGATAGGGTAATAACTTCATAATTAACTACGTCTGAAAGCAGAAGTCTAGGGCAAATAATTGCAAGTCTCTTCAGTGAGAATGTCACAATATGATTTTAAAAGAAAAGCCACATTTTGAAAAAAATATCTATTTATGAGAAAAAGGCTAATTCTAAGAAAAAAGGCATATTTTGACAAACAAAGTCAAATTCGGAGAAAAAGTCAAATTTGAGATGCATTGTGGGACATTTCGTTTATGGGCAACGTGCTTCTGTAAAGTAGCATGTTACAGTATAATAAACATATTATATTCTTTGCAAGCTCTTGTGGGGCCACATAAAATGAAGTCACGGGCCGGATTTGGCCCCCGGGCCTTGAGTTTGACACCCCTGCTTTAAGGCAACACTTTTAATCTGCCCTACACATCTTGATTGTGATATTTGTAAAGTTTCTATTGGCTTGCTTTATAGTCGAAGTGGCTCATTCATTTAAATGAGCCCTACAACTTTGGTGGTAATTTGACCGGCCAATTACAGCGCTTTAAGCCGTTCAAACTCTATACAAAATAGTGAATTCAAGTCTAAATGTGTGTCCTCTGCAGGTTGAAAACCACTGTGGAGTCAAATAAAAACACAGCAAGTACTTTGTGGGTCTGCACACACACATGCGCAAGGTTAAGAAAAATAAAAACAAAGTGGGGCAGGTGAGGGGTTTCGGCACACACATATGACATCACCAGCGTGCGCCGTCGGCCTGCTTTACTCACTTTGCCCTTCGCCCTGGTGGCGGGGGAGGCGAGCGTGGGAGGGGGGGTGGTTTCTTTGGGCTTACGGAGGAGGCCGTTCTCCTGACCTCTGACCCCCACAAAAGAGCCGTCCTTTGCTTCGGCACGCTTCCTGGCGCGCAGTGTGTTCCACGACAGAGACTTCCTGTACGGTACAGGAACGAGAAACATCAACCAGCCAATCAGAGAGAAGAGGGGTCCAGTTGAGTCTGGCTGCCGAGGCAACAGGGCTGTCTCTGAACCCTCTGTGGAGGCAAGGGGCTAAAAACTAAGTGTGATGGCATTTATGTTCTCTTATACTTCTCAACTTTTTTAACAAGTTACAACTAGGTTTGACAAACGAACATGTAAGTGAAAAACTCTTGATTGCAGTGTGTTCTCAAATGTGCTTTGGGGTCCTAGCTTGAATATTTAAAGCTTATTTTGGTTGCAAAGTAAAGAACATTTCATTTTATTTATAACAAAAAAGGTAAAGTGTGTAGGATTTAGTGTCAACTGCTTAATAACCTTCTGTTTTATTCATTCTATGTTATTTTTAACCTTTCTTATAATACTGAGATTATTATTGGAAGAGGCAGATATGGGCTTTGATAAAAATAAGAATAGTGAATGATGAATCTGGTTGGAAGTGAAAAATATCCAAGCTGAGGGAAAGCACCATTAAGAGGCAGAGAACAAACGTATTATTGTCTCTTGTACATCCTCTATGATGCATTCAAATACAAATATATATCGTTTTAGTCACTATAGTTTCTTCTACTGCTTGTATGTGTAACTGTGTGTGTTCAATCCAAGTGTGTGTAGTGTAGTTGCAGCAGAGGGTCCAGACAGGGTCACTGTCGCCTGAATGGGCAGCCAGACTCTTCTGGTCCAGTTAGAAACAGAAGAGGAAGGACAGAAGGACACTGGTCTTTTTTTATTGAGAGAGAAATGAAGTTAGACGGGAGGAGAGAGCAGCGGAGAGACGTGAGAGAAAGACGGACACTGAAGCTTCCTCCAACACAGCCACAAAAAACACTTTAACATGTTAACATTTTCACAAATCCCATCTGCGTTTGTGTGTCCTGTAGTATTTGGAATAAATCATTTTAGTTTGTGTTAACATACTGTTCTACGTGAGCAGTGACGGAAATGCTGGCCAACATACATTTATTTCTGATAATGTATATGAAAAAGCAGTTTCTCAATTAATCTACTTTTGTAATATGCGATTGGCCACCTCTTCTCCACTTGGTCTGTTTGGTAGATACACCTGGAAGCGTTATCTTTAGTGTCTTGAAATATAAATTCAAGTCAAAGTTGAACACTTTCAAATACACCTGGTCAGTCTTAAGTTTAAAACAACATTATACATAAATGTTCATTTATTTTTCAATACTATTATCAAATTTAAAAGCAGCCGTTTTTCCGTCTGTATTTTTTGCCATTTTAAAACTTCTAGGTTATATATTTCAACATTGTACCTTCTGTGGAGTGCCAGACCGTTATTGTTAGTAAAAACGTAAACAAAAAACGTAAAAATAAATGTCACCACAATAAACAACAAATACAAAAAGGTGTTTACCTGATGCTCTAGTGTTACAATCTCTGGTCATATATTATGAAGAAATAAAATCCTTTGTTCACCTTCGGTCTAATTTTCTGTAGAGAATAATTGTATTTAAAATATAACCTTAATAGTAAAGTAAAGTCAAAACCATTAATCACTTCACTCCTAAGTATTTCTGTCTTTGGTCTTGAACAGAGGAACTGCACCTAATGGTTCACACAGAAGCAGGCAGACCGCTCAGTTCATCATTTGCTGTTATGTAGTTTATTTACAAATATTAAAAACTACAATCATCTTCAGCCTAACGCAGAACAAAACAACTTCACCTTCACGTCGCTTTGCTAACTCATGCTCAAGTCCAAAAGGTTTATTTTACATATTTAAAATACATTTAAAATCATTATTATAGACTACCAACAGTACAATGCTGACCGTTGCCATTAAACGCAACATATTGCACAGCCTGACTTCGTATCTTTTCTCATCTTAAATAGTGCAAAAGGGATTTTTCTTTTTTAAACAGGAATGTTCTAGAGCCTCAGTCGAAAAAAAACAAAATCAACTTTGTACAGTGAACTGCCGACATAATAAACAAAATCAACAAGAAGGAGGGAACAAAATCCAACTTTGTCCGTAAAAAATAATAATAATTAACAAGGCAGAAAAACAACAAGAGGAATAAACACAAAATTGTGTATAGATTGCCACAGACAACAAAATAAATATTCTCCACTGCGGAGAATAGGGCTGAGGCCACCTGAATGCCCCAGGTGAGTTTATTTTTCCAAAAACAGTAAAAAGAAGAAAAATATACAAAAATAAAATGATAAACAGGGTGTTAGGAACTGAAATAAGAGTCCGGTTTAGCTCCACATGATTGTTCTCTCTCTGGTTTCCAGAGTCAGCTACAACTTACAAGATTTCCTATCCAGTCTATCACTGTGGGATAAATCCTCATGGAAAATGATCAGTGTGTGTGTGAGTGTTTGAGTTCGGTTGCAAGCCTTAAATCCATGTTCATGTAGTTGCCACAGAGCGGTGAAGTGACATTGGCTCAGAAATAAAACTGTCACCGCAGCAGACGGCCAAGTAAGAGAACAGTCGTGTACCTTTTACCTCCGAGGAACAACAAGACAAGTCAGGAGTTAAAATACAACACAAAAAAAAGTCTCCTGTGAGGTCCAAGAAGAGGAGGAGGAGTATATGAGGGAGGGAGGAGTTAGGAGGTGAGGGCGGAGGCAGTGAGTAGTTAGGACCTGGGGACGGGAGCTGACTCAAAAAACAAAAATGGGGAGAAAAGAGTTTCATCCAATCCGAGTGCTTGGTTCGGAGCCCAACAAGAAGTGCTGGGTGGGTGGGTGGGTGGGGGGGGGACTTACTTGATGTTGTTGGCATCGGCCACCGACGTCGGAAAGGAGGAAGTAGAAGAAGAGTCTTTAATGGACTTAGTGAGAGGGACCAGGATGCGTCCCGGCACCCAGCCCTCTGCGGCAGGTGATTGGCTGTTGGCCTGCCGGTAAACAAGGTACATGTTCTGCTGATTGGTGGCCAGGATCTGGACGGTCTCTCCCTGACTGACGCAGATCTCGTTCTCCTTGAGCGCCGAGTAGTCCTGAGATACCAACATGGTGGAGGAGACGCCGTTACAGCCTTCAAGGTCCTGGGGAGGAGATGAGAGGATGGCCAAGAGAGAGAAAAAAACACAGAGGAGACCAGAGGAGAGAAATGACAGACGAAGAGAGGATGAGGAGAAATGTAGGACAAGGTGAGTCTGTGTGGTTTGGATAACAGTCATAATGATCCAAATCTGAGGAGGAGCAGAGGAGAGTCGGGACCCAGGAGGAGGAGCAGGAGAAAAACAGAGCATCAGCTTTCTGTTCAGGCTCTCTTTTACAGAGAAGTTACTACATGTACAGTCTAATCAGCTGATCACCTCTATGCGGATGAGTTTCCTGCTTCTACCCAGTACGATGGTGCTCAAAGCAAAACCAAAACATCTTAACTTAAGCGGACACTTACGGCCCGTCCACACGGCGGCGTGCATTGAAGCTTCAACGCTTCTGCCCATTCACTTTGAAAGGGGTGACGTCACACTTTGCCGAACTGCATTGTGGGAGCGTCGCTTCGCTTTGCTCGCTTCAAAAGTTGAGCAATGTTCAACTTTTGAAGCTTCGACAGGAAGCGTCAGCCAATAAAATCATATGCCAGTACAAGCTCTAGCCAATCAAACCGCGTGCTGGTGTGTCCGGGGCGGGAGATTCATGTGATGAATTGGTTTTTGGTCGAGCTTCAGACATGCCGCCGTGTGGACGCTGCGTTATTGGTTCAAGTACATTAAAATCTCTATTTATCTATGTTTACGTTTTTTATGTCATTCATTTTTGTATAGATGTTCCAATAGGTCTGATGTTCACTGTTTCTGGCCAATCAGAGCTTTGATGTAGGAAAAACCTCATTATTTTAGAGAAAAGTGTAGGAAAGATTTAACAGATTTTGTAAATTGAATTTGAACACACATTTTTATTATTGAATTACGTTATTTCTCAAAACCAGTTTGCAGTTAGGAGCCACAAGGTGTGCTTTATCAAATGTGATATTTTTGTTCTGTTTTACTTCAATTTCATTTCAACTTATTATAAAAAAAACACAAGTCTTGTTCTTAGGACAGTCTCAGATTCTCCCTTTAAGAGGGTCAAGGTGCTTCCATGTAGAGCCTGGCAGTAAATCACAGCGTGAGCAGAGCTGTCTTGCCTCCTGCAGACAGCAAGAGAATTTATAGACAAAGTAGGCCAGAAAGAGAACAGCCTGGTGTGTGTGTGTGTGTGTGTGTGTATATAAACTCACACAGTATGCTGCTACACCTGCAGTAGCCCAGATTTTAACCTTGGCTTTTAGGGAACAGGAAGCTGAACAGACAGTGTGAAGGGGAAACAAGTGTGCTTCATGCTCTAGTTCCCATGGAGTCTGCTGCAGTATAAAGTGGATAGTATCAGAATCCCTTAATTAGTCCCAAAATGCAATACTGTGAGAAGCTCCAGACAGAAGAAGCAAACTAAAATAAGATACCTAATCAGATAAGTAACCAATAAGTGCTCTCATGTGTGTCCAGGCTGTTTGCAGGAACTCACCCTGGACTCGAAACACGTGGATCCGCCGTTGGAGGTGGACCCTTTCATCTGGGGCCTCCCTCTCTCCGTCTCCTTGTCTCCGAGGCCGACGGCTGATGACGGGCGGCTTTGAGACGACGCTGCAGAAGAAGAACGGTTCCCCGAGCCAGAGCGGTTCCTGGTCAGCGAGGCGCTGCTGCCTGCTCCGCCCTTCTCCTTCTGGTACTCAATGGGAGACTGGAGGGCTACAATCACACAGAAATTAAGCATTACAGTATATTCCTCCTCTGGGTGTCAGCTTCTCTGACTCTCCAAATGTTTTAAAGTATTTAAGTGCAATCAGGAAACTCAACATCCAAAAGAAACAAAATGTCATCATTTGAATGTATGTATCATTGGCAGCAGGTCCTTTGCATCTAGTTACAGAGTGCCTTGTCATTGCACTTTTAGCTGCAACCTTTATTTTAATGCTTTTATGAATTGTATTTTTTGTATTTTGTTTTGTTTTTTAGTTATTATGTTAATGTGAAGCACTTTGAATTGCTTCTGTGTTTTAAAATGTGCTATACAAATAAATAACCTTGAACCTTGAACCTAGTAAGGTGTTGACAAAATACACAATGCTTCAGAGAATAGTTTGTGTGTTTTCTCACCAGACAGGAAGTTGTTCTGAGCATCCAGGACGGCCTGGATGTGTCGGACCCAGATCTGTTTGATGTCCACGTTGGCGGCCTGCAGGGTGAAGCGCTCCGACGAGCCGCGACACGTCAGGACGAACTTACATTGATCGTTATCGCTGCTGTCCTCCAGACCCAGGAAGGATATCTGAGGGGGGGGGGGGGGGGGGGGAAGAAACCATTATCAGTGTCATTAATTATTATTGTAAAATCAATTAAATTCATTAAATAGCAACTTTAACTTCAACACCCCAAGCTTGAACATGAACATGTATCTTTTAATTTCTAAAATGCTAAACATCTATTTGAACCCTGACACACAAGTGGACAACATCTCATGATTTTTTTAGGAAAGGGAAACTAACACTATGGGAGCATGATGAATAGATAGCAAAATAAAGGGGACTGTTCATGTAGTTTCGACTCATAAAGTTGTTTAATGTTGAGTTACTCATTGAAATCGCCCTCTTAAAGGTGGGGTAGGTAATTTTGGAGAAACCAGCTCGAGTGCGCTAGAATTTGAAAATACACAACCGGAAAAAATCTTCCTTACAGAGCCCCTCCTCCAACACACACGAACGCGCACATGACCAATGAGGGCACGAGATAAGTTTGTGCACAGATGGAAGGCTGACAGGAAGGTAGGCCATCCAGTTATTTTAGCCGGGCCGGCTCAGATGATTGGTCGTGCTTTTTACAGCGCCACGGCTTCCACAGATGACATTTTTTAATGGATTTTTTGTCAAAGCACTTCAGATATTCATTGCTATCGGGATGCTAAGAGCATTCCATGGAATATAACAACAAGTGTATCTCGAGCCGGTTTCTCAAACTTACCTACCCACCTTTAATGTTACCCCCCAGAAAAAGACCCCCATTCTGTGCGTACTTTGATGCTCTTCTTGAACTGGTATCCGGGCGTGGACGACCCTTTCCTGAGCAGCTCACTGAAGATGACGATTTGCTCGAAAAGGAAAACTCGTCTCTCTTTGGAGCGCGACAGGACGCCGGAGTCCTGCTCCGTGACGAAGAAGGTTTCCTGCTGGAGCAGCTTGCCCTGACTGGTCAGTTTACCCTGAAGAGGAAATGGATTAGTCAACATATTTAAATCATTTCTCACTGGTCATTGTGCAGAGTGCAGACTTGTTATTAAAACAGGAAGTGAACATACCTCGTATCCCTGCAGACGACCCAGATTCATCATGTCATTACACAGTTTAGGGACCTGAGACATCAAATCTACTGCTTTCTGTAAGAGAGGGATTTCAATCATTGTTTAGGAGTTCCTTTCAGCTCTCTTAGGATGGACAATGAATTGGAGCTTTAAGAAACATACATTGATATCAATAAAAAATCTAAAGGTTAAGGATTCAGGCAAGGAAGTAAAAGCGGGTACAAATACTGTGATGGGATTGTGTGAACTTTGATATTTAGGCACTTTAAACTTAAGTGTTTTTACCTCGATTTGTTCACAGTCAATGCCTGCCTTGCTGCTGTACTTCTGGAAGTCCTGAGGAACAACATGACCACACCTTTAACACTCTGTACATTCAGTTCACTACACAATACATCACTGCGCCCTACATGTCACAGAGGCAATTATCTCCCTTAAATGAGTGGCCTCTTACAGACTCGAGACAAAATGGCTTAATTTCTCAGCGCTAGTTATTTAAAAAAAGAAATGTGGCAAAGTGAGTTCTTCCTTCTAAACAATTATTTAATAAACTAAATAAAGTAAGCTAAGGTTAATTGTGTGTGTGTGTGTGTGTGTGTGTGTGTGTGTGTGTGTGTGTGTGTGTGTGTGTGTGTGTGTGTGTGTGTGTGTGTGTGTGTGTGTGTGTGTGTGTGTGTGTGTGTGTGTGTGTGTGTGTGTTACCTTCAGTAGCAGCTGGTATTTGGTGATTCTCTGGATTGGTTTGATGAGGAAGTCACTCATGGACAACCTGGACTGGACGTCATGCTGGAGCCCCTGCAAGACAAACACCAACAACATCAGAAGGTTTCTTTGTCCTCTATTTTTCCTTGTTTTACTAAATAAAAAAACAGTACTTAAGTAGCACAAAGAGTCAAAACATCACTTACCTCGAAGAATGTATCGTATTCTGCTACGATGAACTCTGACTTCGGCTTATTCTGACAATAAATCACGTACATGTGGAGCCTTCTCTCCTGTAACACACAGACACACACAGTTTTCAGACAGCAGATCACACAGTTCATTTTAATATTACAAAGTCATCATCTTCATCATCATCACCACCACCACAGTGCTCCACTCACATGTTTGATGAAGAGCTCAGGAAGGAGCTCATGGTCGTCTAAACATTTATCCAGCTCTCCGACGAAGAAGCTGACAGGAAACAGAAGAGGGGGTATTAGTGATCAAACACAAACAGGACCGACGACCCCGATCTGGGTCCAGTTCCAGCTTTTGAACACCGACGCTGAACCTACTCTCTGTGCCAGTCGTAGATCTGGTGGATGTTCCCGAAGACGATTTTGTCTTTTCCTTTCATGTCGTCGGGGATGCCCTTCTCCTCGATCCTCTTCATGAAGCCCTGCAGGGGGACAGAAGGTCGACATGTTGAGAGGAGACACTTCATTCTCCTCAAACATCAGAGCAAAGACAAACACTTTACTCTACCAAAGGTACATATTTCAGGGGTTCTGGGGTCATTATAATTTCGCGAATTTGAGTTATAAGTTTTAAAATCTGAATCAGGATTTTAAGCAGTAATAGTTTAATTAAGAGACCCAATTCATTTGCTTTGGTGTATATTCTGTGAGGCTGTGGCGCAGTGGGTTAGTGCGCTGAACTTTGAATCAGGGGGTAGCTAGTTCGAGCCCCACTGCAGTCAGTATGTCGTTGTGTCCCTGGGCAAGACACTTCACCCCATATTGCTCCTGTGGGGATTGTCCACAGTACTGACTGTATGTAAGTCGCTTTGGATAAAAGCGTCTAACAAGTGACATGGAATGTAATGTAATATTCTGCATACATAAATAAAATAACAGGAATTAACGAAACAAAAATATTACTACTTTAAAAACTATTATAAACTAACAAATATACATTTACAAAAACATGAGAATATGAAAATAACAATTTACTCAAAAAAAGTGCATTATGTCAGTATTTAAATGGGTAGAGCTGCTGTTATGTGACCATAAAGAAAGCTACTTGAAGGGATACCATTGACTTTATCGTAAGGGTCATGCTGATAGGGGGTGGCAGGATATTTGGAATCACAATATTCGGAATCACAAAGGTGTGTATGTGTTGTTGTCTCACCTCCACCACGATGCCCAGGTCCTTGACGTAGTCCTTCTCCGTCTGGATCAGCTCGTTAAGGACAAACCTGGTCAGAACAAAACAATTCACTGTAACATCCTGAGGAAATGTTTTCACTGTCAACAAGGACTACTGTGTGCACTGGTTGTTGTGGGTAAACATGTAGTAGTTCTTGAATTAGAAGCAGTTATAGTGGCAGTGATATTCTGCAGTACTCACATCCGTCCTCTCATAGCTTTGGCTCTCTGCTCCAGCTCAGGGTTTCGAGGCTGCACTGGAGTGGTTTGCTCCGGCGGAGAGAGAGACGAGAAGTCGGGGTACGTTCCTTTATCCAGAGTCTGAAGAAAGGAAGAGGAGATCAGCGTTTAGAGATGAACCAATACATTCAGAACAGCGCTGCTAGGATCCTGATGAGTGTGCGCAAATATGAACACATCACCCCCATCCTTAAAGCACTACACTGGCTACCTGTGGAACTGAGGATCGAATTCAAGGTCTCCGTCCTCACCCACCAGTGTGTCCATGGAACTGCCCCTCCCTACCTCAAGGAACTCCTCACCCCCCATACCTCCTTGCGGACCACCCGCTCCAGCAACTCCAACTTCCTCAAACCCCCCAGGACTAAGCTCCGTACTATGGGAGACCGGGCCTTCTGCTCGGCTGCTCCCAGTCTGTGGAACGCTCTCCCCGACCAAATGAGAGCACCACAGACCGTGGAGGCTTTTAAAAAAGGCCTCAAAACCCATCTCTTCAAAAGAGCCTTTGCCTAGACCTTTTTATCACCCTTTTATTTATTTTTTGTATTGCTTTTTATTAATTCTACCGTGTTGTGTAATGTTTATTTATACTGTTCATGCTCACTACTTGTAGCACTTCGGGATTTGAAATAAAATATGAAGTGCTTTATAAATGGAACCCATTATTATTATTATTATTATTATTATTATTATTAACCTTTTCCCTTTTCACAGTTATTTGTTATAGATTCAGGATAGCAGCGACATGTCCTCCATCAAATCTATTTCATCATATAGGGACTCAACAATATAAACACGAAAGGACCTCAAACCTTGGGTGCTCAATGAGGACAATCTCTAAGTGTGAACCACCATCAGGATAGTGAGATGGATTCATGCAGCAGAGGGCAGCAGGAGCTTGGTCTTTAGCGGCTGAGAGTAACCACTCTGTGTTGATTGTGAAAACTACCACCTCTGCTTTCCATAATTACATCAACGTCGGTGTGGAAATACAAGATTCCAAATCAGCAACTGCTTTTTGAGCAGAAGGGATTTCTCCACCTGGCCTGAAAACACGGCAGCGGATTGAAGGGCAATATTTCAAACAGCAGAGTCCATCCTGGGACCATTTGGCCTTTCAAGTCTAAACTCAGTCTCTACATTAAAGGCAATGGTGGCCCAAAAACAATATTAACATAAATCAAAGAACACGTTATACTCAAGTGGATAAGACACTATGTTGGCAAATGATATGTCATAATGTTAAGGTGTTTTGTCCAGTAAGAATCTTCAATTTCTTATCAAATAAAAGAAATGTCACTTAACCACCTTTCAGATTGGATTTATTTCTCTGGAGGAATGGAGCGACTTGAACATTATCTGCGCTGGTCAGAAATGTGTTTCATAGAAAATAAACGAGGAGAAAAGTGAATATATCGTTCCCCAACTCCCCCTGTAAACGTTCCAGATGTGGCCTTTGCATGACTTCTGTTCAAAATGTTATGCATGTATTCCTAGATATAAACACAGACACGTTCAAGCTAATAACACAAACTACTATGAACACCAACTATATCACACCAACATAGAGACAATAAAGTACAACACACAAGTACAGTTCATTGTTCATGCATGATTTTTGTTAATACACAAATTCAGTATTGTGTTAATTTGTTGAAAAGAGCAGATCCATACATGCTGTGTTAGCTTCACGAAGACAGCAGGTTGTGTTCACTTCGGTCTTTAAGACTGGTCTGCAGATTGTGTTTTTGGTTTATGCTCATTTACAAAAGGCAACCTATTTCTTATTCGGTACAAGTGTAGGACCCATTCATGCACTTAATCGCACACACTCACCATCTTGGTTTTAACCAGTTTTTCTATGGCGCTAACCAGCTCTGCGGCGCTGGGCACGTCAGAGGACGACTGAAGAGATGTTAGCAAGGAGGAAGACTGAGAGGAAGAGGAGGATCAAAACCAAGAGCATATTAGGAAGATTGGAAGTGAAGGAGAGAACGCAGGAGGTGGAACAAAGGATGTACATAGAGTTAACGAGAGAAAAGCTGTTAGTTAGCAGGTGGAAACACTGCACGATGTATACCAAGCCTGAGAGAAGGACAAGCTTTGCTAAAATAAACCTTATTTGTATCAACTATTTTTCTTTCTTTTCAAAAATACGAGAGCATTGATGAGTAAAAGAGTAAAGGGTATGAAAAACAACAGAAAATTACACCCTCAAATTTGATATTCTATAATAAAAACGAAAAAAACCTGAAAATATTTTCATTAAATAAAAATAAAAACTTAATGAAAATCAAATAAATCAAAGAATAAACTGAATGACATCATGATAACATCAACGTTTCTCAGTTCAAAGGTTTGACAGATTTGAGAGTAGAAGTTGTTTTTAACTGGTCGGATAAAGCATTTATTTAGTGACGTGAACCCTGTCTTTTCTCACCTTGTCCTCCTGGTCCTTGATGATCTCCATGCGGGGGGGCAGGTCGGTGTGCGGCTCCTCGTCCGGCTCCTCTTCCCCCCCGCTCTGCATCCCAGGCTTGGAGAGTATGTTAGCGCTGTTACCGCGGCGTCTCTGAGGGACACAAACACAAATCCAGAGTCCGTTAGAAATAAGAACGCATTTTTTACCCCCTCGTTGTCAAACACACTTTCATGATCACATTATTTATCATCACACATCAGTTATTGTTGTGAGTTAAATGCATCCAAATGTTCAGGCTGCATTTTCTCATTGAACAATGCAAAGGGGTATTGTGTGAAGAAGAGTCATTTCCTGTGTTTGTAACTCTAATGTGGCGCATACGAAAAAACGCTTTGTTCGAATTGATCTGTTTTAAAAGTTCTCCAAAATGAATTATTATATTTTATATTTCTGTTGCTTTTAAGTTTTAGTTACGTGCAATAATTGGTTTAACAATGCGTTTACATCATTCTCATATATCATTGTTGTCTGCCAAAAAGCTCATCCAGAAGTAAGGAAAACAGCAACTGACATGTTTCATACGTTTATGATTGTTAAGAGTTTTCAAAAATGATTGCTAAGTTATTAATAAAGTGGGAGAGCATCAACATCAATAGTTGTATGACAAATAATATCCACAGAAGTCGGATCCCTGATGTTTTGTATTGTCAGGAATCAGGGAGTCATTCTGGAGTTGGATCATTCATGTGTCTGCGTGTGGGAGTAGAAAGCCCTCACACACAGAAACAGGAACCTTGGCTGTTTACGGTCTATTACGTAGATGTAGAAATCTCTTGTATACCTCCCTGACAGGTTCTCTAAGGCCACAAGGAGCAGTTAGATTATCTTTTAACTAAATACCTAATAGACTGGAACAGATAACCAAACATAAAGCAGGGTTTGATACCACATATATTTTTTCGGTAGATCAGAGGCCCAATATAAATCATATCTAATCAGGTGTTTTATATCGGATTATAAATGACCGTCTGAACCTTTCTTCCTGCCGAGTCTACAAAAACCCTTTAACAGCATCAGAAATGCAACAAGGATCCTTTAAGGCGTGATAACTTTTCATTGTGCTGCAAAACAAACAGAAATAAGACATACTTTAAAGGGGCCCTAAAATGCTTGTCTGGGTTTTCCCTTTCCTGTTTCACAGTAGAGCCACAAAATATAAATATGAACCTTAAAAATTAGCGCAACAGGCCGTTTGAAATCAAATGTTTTATCATTTTAATGAATCTAGTGTTTCATGCGCTCATTATTGGAGCTAGTCCAAAGCACTTAAAAAAACAAGTGAAAGTGAAAATGCATACAACTGGATGAATGTGCATTTGATCATACTGCAGGAGTTTTGTGAGCGTTTTTAAAAGGATGTTTTGATATATTTTTTCTGTTAATTGCGTCTCCCATTTATTTCCAATTCCCTCAATTTTTTAATCTTCCTTTTATATGTAAACATGCAAGAGTTCTGCGTGTGGCACAGTGCGTTAGTGCGCTGATCTTCGAATCAGAGGATAGCAAGTTTGAGTCCCACTGCAGTCAGCATGTCGTTGTGTCCCTGGGTAAGACGCTTCACCTCAAATTGCTCCTGTGGGGATTGTCCACAGTACTGAATGTATATAAGTCGCTTTGGATAAAAGCGTCTAACAAGTGACATGTAATGAAATGTAGGTCATTGGTATACAAGTTCATTTGTGGTTGAAGTCTTCCTTTAAAGCTATGAAATGTCAGCAGGTTTGTGAAACACCACACTTTAGACCACAGCAGATGAAAGACTCTTTTGTTGGATGTCCTGCTCACCTTGTCGATGATGTCGTCCTGCAGGGGGGGTCCCAGGTCGATGCTCTTCCTGCTCTCCTCTCTTCCTGTTCCTGTAAATCAAACAGTTCAATTACTCACACACATTCAGTCCAAATGTAAAATATTTTAACAATTGAGGATTCAAGAAATCAAGAAGGTTTTAAACAGCTTGTATAGTAGTACTTACTTATAATGCTAGAAAGACATTAAAGGAATCATAATGGTAGATCTAGCAACACATTAACCCAAATCTGTCCAAAGTCCTGTTGACACTAGAAATGGGTAATCTATTTTATTCAACCCTCAGTTACAATGTTGTGTTATTGCCACATGGTGACAGGAGGAGGAGCTTTTCATTTGATTGGTTGATCAAAAACCATTTGTTTGTGAACATGTATTCAACGCTACAACAATCAGAGCAGGATCTTTCAAACAGACTTTGCCTGTTGGGGTATTTCCCCCAAAACTGATGTTGAAAATGCATTGTCAGCCAATAATATAATGCTTTTTAACATTAATATAATGCTGTGTTACAAATCCAAATACTGAACAACAAAGCAGGAATTTTTAGAGGACCTCTACTTGCAACAGTATTAGCAGACTACTTGTTGCAGTGTGCTAAAATACATTTAAACCAAAAGCTACATGGAGGGAAAAACAACTGAAAGAAGAATGTATGGTATGCTTTGAAATGTTGCAGTTTATGGCTGAATTCACTGTATTTTGGCCCAGTGAAGACTCAATATTCAGTCTCAATAGGTGTATTTAAAGGTCCCCTATTATACTGTTTGTCATCAATATAGTATAGGTCTCAGATACAAAACATGTCTCTGAAGTGTTTGGCTCCAAACACCAAACAGATCATTGCAGCATTACCCATAATCCCCTCTGTTTCAGCCCTGTTTCTAAAGTGCTGATGTTACTTTAGATCAGGGGTCACCAACCTTTTTTAGGATGAGGGCTACTTTAAAAAAATAAAACAAGTCAGGGGGCTACTTTTACTCCTCTTTTTTTAGTTTTTTGCAGTGTATATATTTAGCACATTTTAACATTATTATATGCTTATCTTTAACCCTTGTGAGCTGTTTGGGTCTTTGGGACCCGTTTTCAGTGTTTACTAAAATAACATGCAATTTAATTATTTTAACCTGCTTTATTTGGGGGTGGACGGGCCTCACCTCCTCTAGGGGGGGGCCTCACATCCTCCAGGGGGGACCTCACCTCCTCTAAGTGAAATGCATCAATCTGGTGCACTTCAGCACAACATGAATGTATGGATACAGCTCTCAACACTCAGATGAAAGGGAGCTGTATACTTTTCAAGAATCCAAACATCTTTAGAATATGATCACAACCAATAATAAATCATTTAAACTTGTTTATTCTTATCTTGTGTTACCACATTCTTTCTTTTTATTTATGCATATTTTACTAATCACTCCCCTTTTAAACTGTTTTTGTACTGTCCTATTGTACACATTGGAATGATTTCTTACTTTATCTATATTAAATAGATAAAGGGGCACGCCCACCACAACACACACACACACACACACACACACACACACACACACACACACACACACACACACACACACACACACACAACACACACACACACACACACACACACACACACACACACCACACAACACACACACACACACACACACACACACACACACACACACACACACACACACACACACACACCACACACACACACACACACACACACACACACACACACACACACACACACACACACCACACACACACACACACACACACACACACACACACACACACACACACACACACACACACACACAGGCTGTGTGCTCCTCCGTGGCGATGACGGTTTGCGTTAACAAATAATAATAAACATATCTGTAAAGTGGGGGGACACAAACAGGATTTCGAAAAGTGCTGGGGACATGTCCCCCCTGGAGATTACGCCATGCGTGTGTGCGTCAAGTGCAATAAATAAATATGCAAGTTGCAACACACACAGTAAAACTCTGCCCCTCATGTGCTGTATAGGCTGGCATGATGGGCTGTTGAATGGGGCTGATGTCTTGTGTAGATTCTGCCAGAAGGAAAATTAGCCGGGAGGTGCCACATTGCTTTTCTTCCCGACTGCAACGCTGGTCCATGGATGTATAATAAGAACGCGCTGGTCCCGCAAATCAAGCAAGAACGTGATTGGTCGATATTCATTGTGGGGGTGGGGGGAGGAGGGGTGTTAGATATAGAGTTGTAGTAAGTAGATAGAGTTTGTTATGATTTAAGTTTCGTTTATGCATGTGGTAGATTATTTTAAATTACATTTCCTTTTTTGTTTTGTGTATTTTATACATTTTGGATTTTCTTGGTGAGCTATTTTTAGAACGTGGCCGGCGGGCGCCTCACGTTGACCCTGCGGGCGACTGAGTGCCCGCGGGCACCGTGTTGGCTACCCCTGCTTTAGATGAAAATAAGGAGCCCCTCCCCAGGCCCCTCTGAGAGATATTTGGTTACAAAGAACTCAATAGGCGCATTCACACCGCAGTACTTTTCCCACAAAGATTCATGAGAACTTAGTTCATGAGAACTCTTTTGTCGCGTTCACACCAAAAAGAGCAGGTACTAAAATTAGTTCATGAGAACCTTTTTACCCCCACGAAAGTCCCTGCTAGAGAGCAGAGAGCTGCTAGAGAGCAGGGACTTTCGTACGGCTCTCTTGTGAGAAAAGAGCTATATTTCTGATTGGCTGGGCGGATTGCAAACCACGCCCCGTAAAACTCCCAAAAGTGTTGTGAAGCCGCCATTTTATTATCCTCGCATTAGCATTATTAGCATTAGCATTAGCCCAGCGCAGAAACGCAGAGAGACTAACTTAAGGCAACACAACATAAAACATGGGAGCGGTGGAGATGAGGAGGGTGTCGGCGTTCTGGCGATTTACTCAGAAGGCTTCAGTAGAAGCTGCTGGGAGTCCCAGCAGCTTCTACTGAAGCCAGTCCCCAACTCCGGGGACTTCCGGCCGGGGACTTTGGGCGGCCAGTATACGCCG